CAGGAGGAGCAGAGCTACCTGGCAAGGTGAACCCTGCTTCCATTTGTGATGATAATGGGCTTGTTCTCGAAGTTGAACACCGGATTAGAGCAGTGACAAAGGCTGACAAAGCAGGTAGAGCAGAGGGCAGGGTGCCCCTGCTGAGGTGAGGCTGCTCTGCACTGCAGGGACTGTGTGCTCCTCTCACCTGGGACCCAAACTGGTGTGAGAGTGGGGCTGTCTTTATCCTTAGACATCCCACAGCTTCCAGGCTGGGCCTTGGAGGCATTTCCAAATTTGAAACGCAGACTTAGACCACTGCTCTTTCCCACAGCCCAAAGCACCGACTGTGTTTCTCTGCCTTCTCTCTGCTTTCTCACTTTCAAAGCTGTCTATATATCAGCCCTGGGGGTGCACTCTTGTCCAGTGGGATCTGGAGAAGCCCAGCTCCCCCATAGCTCATTTCAGGTAGCCTTATTGTCCAGGAGATGCTCAGAATGGGTTGAAATACACGATGCTGGGTGCAAACTGGCCCTCTGTGTTATAACCCTAATCTGGTTAGGGGATCAGGGCAGCAGGCTTGCAGCAGCCCACGTGGCCCTGCCAGTGGCTGCATCCTGGGCTGTGCCCATGCTGGGCATGTCATCAGCTGGGTGTGAATTTCTGTGCTGCTCAAAAATGCCCCAAGATGGGAAAATGCAATCTATTTAACCCTTATCTGTTCCCTGGGGTGTGTCTCAGGGGGTTTCTACTGCGGAGGTTCTTTCTGTTTTCAGGTTGGTGTTGTTTTAGGGGTGTGAGGGCTCTGGTTTCCTTGTGAGCAGTGCCAGACAGGAGCCCCCCAGAGGGGTCTGCCCAGTGGTGCCTCTGAGGAGTCACCAGCCCTCCGAGGAGATGCTTGGTGGCCCTCTCTGTTTTCTCTGACACTCTTGGCCCTGCAGTTGCAATATCCTTAGGAAAAGCCCAGCAGCCACTCCCTGCTGATGGGAGAAAGTCTGCCTGAGTCCAGGGGTAGTGCAGGATCTGCTTCTGCTTTTGGAGGCCAGCGTTGTGTCTGCTTCCAGCTCCTTTGAGAGCAGAGGGGAAATGAAGTCCCTTTGGGGAGCAGGGTGGATCTCAGCGGGGTTTTTGCCCTTCCCATTGACCACAGAGTCCCATGATCCCCAGCAGGAGCCAAATGGGACACAGCTGAGTTCCCACCAGTGACTCCAGTGATGGCTCACCCTGGGGCAGAGGTTCTCCCTGCCCTGCAGGGAAGCTGCAGAAATTAAATGGGAATTGCTGGGATAAGTTAAGGCTTTGTTTCAAAAACAAAAATTCTGCAGAAGCAATGGATGTTTGGGCTGAGAATATCTTATCTGGCAAAGTTGACCAATACAGCATGATGTCTTATTTATACATGGCACTGGCATTTATACTGATAGAATTAATGAATCTAAACACATTTTCTTTCATTAGCCCCTTAGAATGGGCTTTAGTGAGATACTGGTATCTAGTAAAAAAAAAAAAAAAAATCCAAACCAACAAAAAATCCAAAACAAAAATCAACCCAACAAACCAACAAAAAACCCCAAACCAAAATAGAAAAGTGCCTTTTTTAAGATCCAAGCCCAGCATAAACACACTTCTTATTATTTTTGGAAAGCTGCTTGCAGGTGTCAGCAGCCCTGACACACAGCTGGTATTAACTTCTGGGGGCAAGAGAAAGGGAGCAGGTTTAAATATAACTCCTGGGAAATAAGCATTGGAATAACTTCCAAGATCAGTTTTACCCCTACTTTGCTGCCTGGAATTTTCCCTAAAAATACAAAATATAAACATTTAACCTCAGGGACCAGACACATGTGCAGAGGAGCAGTTGCTTTCCTCTAGGATGGCCCCAGAGCATCCTTGTGCTTGTCCAGACAGGGCCCTCTTTGTGCCTCTCTGGTTTCCAAAGTGGGAATTCACCATTAAAAGACAGATTTGTTCTTCCTGAGCCTTCTGGCTGCAGAGAGATGTGTGCTCTCATAGGGAAGCACAGATTTAATACCAACAGCCCAGCAGCTATTGCAACCACCCAATTAAGCCAGAGGTAAAGATGGATAAAGTGGATCAGGGTCAGGTCAATTAAAATCAGCCCAAGCTGTGTTTCTAAGGCTCTGCAACACACTTGTGTCCAATGAATGCACTGTGCTGACACTCCTGGAAAGAGCTGAGTTTGCAGCACACGTGTATTTGCTAAGCAGGAAAAAACCCATCCAAAACCTCTTACTGCACCATTCCCAGTTGATGAGACCAGTTCAGCTCCATTTGCTTCTTTCTGACCTTTGCTATCAACTCTCCTCCCAGCAGAAAATTACCCACAGGCTATTTTTTATTACCTTGTAATTTCCTCTAATCTCAAATAAATGCTTTAATTGACCTCTGTCCTCCCAGTGTACATGGCACAGTGAGCAGGGCTGTGCCCACAAAAGATCCTTGTAAAGCACTGTCTTTTCCCTCCAGGGCCATTTATTGTATTTATTTATTGCTGTAATTGCTTTGAACCAGAGTCAGACGTCAAATATGTGGTGCTTTAAGTTATTATCTAGGCAAAATAGGTGTTTTTCAGGTGGCTGATAAAAAAAGCCCATGATATGCAGGTGAAATGGTCCATGTGAGCCAGAGCTCTCCTTGCCCAGAGGCAGTTTCACACAGAGTGCCTAATTTGTACCCTGCCTGGACCATTTTGTTTGTGCCCAAACCATCTATGCATACCCAGAGAGGGGAGGGGTGTGTTTTCCAAATTCAGCATGTTCAAAACTTTGGGAGCTTGAAATGATTTTAAAATATATGCTGTTTATTCCTGCTTGTTTTCCATAAGCCTGGTCAGTGCTGCTCCATCCCACAGCCTCCTGGGTGGTGCTGGCCCCACACTTGGCAGCAGCCAATGATTACTTTCCCCTGCCAGTCACTATTTTGTAAAGAATATTTTTGCCTGTTAGCTGTGACTAATGTGCTTTGTCTTACAGCATGGATGCAGTCAGGGCATCCCTGAAAGGTTGTATTTAATAAAAGAGAACATGGTGATGAACCTTCCACATCAGCCAAGCCCTGGGCTATTCCCACAGGCTCCAGTGCAGTGCATATACCCAAATAACCTTGGGATTTGAGCTGAAAAACTGCTGTTTTCTCAATGCCTGCTTGGCTTTGGGGCAGAAATTCCATCACTGCTCTCATGGCAAAGCTGGGGAGGAGTGACAAGGGAGGCTGGTGACATTTCCCCGTGGAGCAGCGAGCCTGTAGCATGTCCTGCACTCACTAAGCAGTGCCAGCACCAGCTTGCAGCTTTCAGGGCTGCCCGTTGTCACCTGGCTGTGACAGCACAGGGCTGGAGGAGCACCCAGCCTTCCCCATCCCCACAAGCAGAGCTCTGCATCGCTAATCCCCTGCTGCCAGCTCCCACAAACAGTGTCCATCTGGAGTAAACACAGCTGGGGAAGGAGATGAGGAAACTTTATTTTGCAACCATTTGTGGTAGTGTTCACAACCACAGCCCCAAGTGCTTTCTCTGCTTACGCAGCAGAGCAAGTAACAATAGTATTTTTCATTGATGTCTCCAAGGCTCAGTGGCTTTTGTCTCCAAGGCTCCCTGCAGACCCAGCCTGTGGTCTGGGGATGGCCTCACCTGGGCAGGTGAGCTCCTGTCATGAAGAACTAAACTGTGGTCCTTGTCTCTGCAGTGATTTTGGAAATACCAGCTGCCTGCTCAGTGCCTTCTGGGAATCTTAGATCTCCTCTCACCCAGGGCTGCACAGGGCCCCAATCTAGGGAAGATTCCATTTGGCAAATTTGCCTTTAGCTGGATGGAGACACTAGGTCTGGAGTGACTGGAACTCTGCTCTCCCCAGAATCAGAGAATCCATGCAGAGAGGAGCAGGCAGAACTACTCTGAAAGTCCCTTTTTCTGGAGATGCTCAAAAACAACCTGGACACAATCCTGTGCAACCTACTCTAGGTGAAACTGTATTAGCAGGGGGCTGGACTGAATGATCTCCAGAGGTTCCCAACCTTCATGTGATTCTGTAGCTTTCTGCCTCACTGTCTTCAAAAATGTGGGCTGCCATGCATCACCCACGGGAGAGGAAAGCAGAAGGCAGAGGAGCAGCATAAAACATGGCCAGGTCACTGAAAATAAGAAATGGAAAGCTAAGCGTGAATTTTCCAGGAGCTGCAAGTAGATGTGGTGGATCAAAAGCCATCAAACAAAATAAAGTGAGTCACTAAGCAGCTTTGAGAGCAGGAAAGGTTAAAACAAACATTGTTGAATTGGCTTAAGACTGAAATCAAAGCTGGAGACTGCTTTCCTGTTCTTCATGCCGAGCTATCATTTTTTCCAGTTCCATTTTCTGCCACTGTTACATTGGAGGAGCAGGTCCACCCAGGCCCTCAGCTCCTGAAGGAAACTCGACCGGGATTGCAGGAAGGGTGGGTTTAGCTTAAATCTGAGGGAGAAATCCTTCCCTGTGAGAATGGTGAGGGTGGCACAGGGTGCCCAGAGAAGCTGTGGCTGCCCTGGATCCCCGGCAGTGTCCAAGGCCAGACTGGACGGGGCTTGGAGCAGCCTGGAATAGCGGCACGGGGGAGGAAGGGGATACACTCCAGCGCCTCCCCAGAGCCGAAGCGCTCCGTGGCCGTGTGCCTGCCCCGGGCCCGGCGTGCGCGGGGCGGGCCGGGGCGGGGCCGG